ATAGATTCATCCATCTTGCTTTCTTGGTATCTATCCATCTATCTAGTTTAATATAAAGGCGCTAACGTTAGCTTCTGAACCTGATAGCCCCCCCCCCCTCTACTGCAGCTGCCATACCCCCCCTTCTTTTCACCTGGTGATGGTGACCCCCCACAAACCTAGATTTGCCTATAATATATCAGTCGTAGTCATCTTAACATAACTTTGAAAAAACTAATGATATATTTTGCGGTTTTTCCACTGAAACCTGCAAATTACTGTTATTACCCTATTCCTCCCAAGCCCTCTTAGAACGCTTAACAGTCCATTTTGTAACCCCTTATCCTCTTTAAACCAGATTACCCCCCCCTTCCCCCTTTTTTACAACTCAGTTGAATAGAGTTAAGTTGACTCAGTGGGCTGTTATTGAGATTCGAACCCTTGTAATTGGACCTAACATCTCACAGGGATAGATTATGCTCTCTAACAAAATCAGAAAAGTAAATTTTCGAATTTTCTGATTTTTTAAACTAAGTGTTTATAATACAAAATGGTTGAGCATTGATAATATATTAATCCCTGCTTTTTAACCAATTGTGTAGAACCAATATTTTGGTTTCTCAGGACTCATGGTAAACTGATAACATCAACTAAATGCCCATTTGTGAACCATGCCTCCTAGTAATTGGTTTAAATGATTAACGATATACGCGCGTAATAATGCTAACCTAATACGGCAGAGCTTACGCATAAAAATAATTAATGAAAGTAACTGCACAATACAGTATACACAACACTGAATGTGTTTGAGTAATCGCCCCAGGTAAAAGAATAGAACTATTTAAGATATATATTCCTATATATTTCTATATATATTCCTAAATACTTATATATTCCATATATTTGTATTGAATATATTAAACACTATTAGAACCAAGGAAGTTAAACAAGGAACCCTGATCACGGTAAGTCAGAATATGCATGTTTTTGCCCAAAATTCTGACGACATTTTGCCTATTTCTATATTATAGGGGGGGGGGGGGGGTCAGCCAAAATGAGTTTATTCCATAAACCTCTAATCTATGTCAAATGAGGCTTAAGAATTTTTAGTAATTATAATTTGAAATTATAATAAATTAATACAAGCTACAATTGATACAATGTTTATAAATGAAAAGATTATCAGAATATATTCATTTTGTTCATTCTCACCATGAGACACAAGACAAAAGCATTTTAAGAGGAGTGTTATGACAAAAACCAGTCACCCTCCCCCCATGATCCCCTAAATACCCCTGTGCCCCCTCTTAAAATTTTTCATACACTGGACAATTTTTATTTTTTAATATCATTGGTTTTTGAATCTCTGTTTACAAAATAATTGTACTATACCCGGCATGGGCAGCAGCAATTCTGTTTACATTTCTACCAGAAGCTGCAGTACACTGTTTGTAAACATCAGGGTTCCTGGTGAATCCTCCCTGATTAGCCCCGTGTTTAGTAAACAAGGAAACCAACAGTTTTATTAAGATTGTTGGTTCGTGATAGAATATTGAACATGGTTATATAGAACCCAATTGGCAGTATTTTATATTATGTTGTTATTTTTTGAGGTTTGTTATGTTGCTCCCATCATGGATTGTAAATTATGATCTCGCGTTTACAACTCGAGAACGATTTTCAAATCGGGTTGAATAGATAAATAAAAGAATGCATGGGCGAAAACAATATCTATATATTTTTTAGAAGGCAATAAACACAAAAGTCAAAGGAGTGCTAAATTCTTTTTAAATATCCTTGAATAATAAGAATATTTTAAAAACAACAAATTTAAATTAATTTATTGATTTGATAATTTCTTCATTTTAGAAAATATGTTTAAGGTCCCGGAATTTGTTTTGAAGGAACCGTTGGGGCCTGAAAACCCCCAAGAAACCACATATTTTGCTGATCCAGGGGGAGGGGCTGAGGTCCCATAGCCCCCCCCCCCTGTATACTGCCCTGGGAAGCTCTGAAGTGTTTGATCTAAAATAAAGTGTTTGATTGGTTTGATTAAAGATTAAGAAACGGTTGATCTAAAATGTCGGTTATCTCTCGAAATGGACGTTTTCCTGGACTAATGATGCCGTCCAACGGACATAGTTTCATAGCCGTCATGTTCTTAATATTTAAAATACGGTGATGGGCCTAACCTCTGTAGAGTAAAATAAAATAGATGTTAGTTCCACATTTATTGAAAATATATTTCTGTCTGGGTTGACCCTCGTCAGTTCTAATGATATAATAACCATCAAAATCGATGATATAAAATGTTAACTACAAGAAAATAAACAGTTATACAATCCTCTAATACCAGTAAGAAGATTGAGATTAATGGAACTTTCAACTGTAAGACCAAACATGTAGTTTATTGTATTACATGTGAGAAGTGTAATAGGACAGACAACAAGATCTTCAGATGAAAGAGTGAGAGAACATATTGGTTACATTAGAAATCTCCATCTGAACCAGCCTACAAGAGAACATTTTAACCTTCCTGGACATGAACTCTACCATCTAAAAGTTAGCGTTCTAGAGAAGGTTTGGGATATTGGAAGAAGTTTACTTGAAGTACGAGAATCTAAATACATGAGATTTTATGACTAACACTTTTAAATCTAATATTTAAATATTAGAATAATAACATTGAACAAAAAAATCAATATTTGTACAAGGGGGATTATATTTTAATTCCCTCCCTTTTTGTTTGTTTAAATCCATGTTTAAAATTAGATTTACACATTAATTATTAAAACATGGGGGGGGGAGATTATTTAATACTGTTTTATTAATTTAATTCCTTTCTTTTGTTTAGCTCTAGTTAGATTATGTTGCTAAGATAATATTTGACAAATATTAAGATATCTATTCTGATAAAAAACTGCATGCAATATATAATTGTTGTGGCATGCAATATATTTGTTGCAGGCACAATAGATGACAGATATACATACTGATACCGTATACATGCAATTGCGTGGGTCGATTAATTGATAGATTCCCCTCCACTTCCCCATATACCCTTTCAGCTTTTATTAGTAAACATCTCAGATACACTTTGCATTTCCAACAGATAGATAGATAGATATATAGATGAGATTATATACTGACAGATGAGAAATCCCTCTGGGCTGTTTTGTATTTCCTAAACCAATGTTCTATAACAGTGTGTTGTGTAGTATATATTGTACCTATATATTTACTTTATTATAATTTTCTTATGTCTCTTTTTCTTTCTATTGTCCTTTCCCCCCTTTTTCCTTCCCCCCATCCTCAAAATCTTCAACCTCTCTTCAATTTCTTCCTTCATTTCTGTATTTTTTTTCGATATTTCTTCATTTTTTAATCATTTCTACAATTTTTCCCCCATCGTTTTTTAATTTTTTTCCATCATTTGTTCATTTTTACTTCGAAAGAACCTCATAGGACCTTCTCCCCTCCTTTTATTTACCCTCGCCATATCTCTATTTCCCCTTTTTTTCCCCTGTTTTCCCCAAGTTCTGAATATGTTCTAATTTATTGTACGACCATTGATCCCCCTTTCTCGATAAGTAGAGAACATCAAAGAACCC